TGCTAAACCCGAACTAGTAGTGAAAGACAGCAGTGGTGGTAATCTTGCAGTTGGACAACTATCTGAGAGCCGAACAAGAACAGCTTCTGATCCACCGCTAAGTTCATCACCTTGTGTCACTCAGTCATCGTTGGTGTTTTCATCCACAATGAAACAGATGCCCATCAACTGTAGTATCTTCTGCAATGACTATGGTAGTATCAGTTCGTTTGAAAGGACGAATATCAATGGTCAGTTTAGTGTGGATAAGCCAAGTGTAAACGAGAGAGTAATTGTTAAATTGACTTGCACGAATAAAGGCATTTCTAGTTTCAAGTTACTATTTGAATGTTATTATCTTTGGTGTAAATTACTCTGTTTCTATACTTGGTTGATGAGATATGTCGTGTGTTTGTTGGTCATCTATATTCTACGATACAATGACATGGGCGTGTTGCCGTTCAGATTTGAGGATATAGCTGATAGAAGGAAGTTAGCAAATGAACTCTGCGACGATTTTCCAACCTAGGGCGTCAACCTGAGAAGGGTTGTAGGCGTACTGCTGTAAGTCCTACAATTCTTCAAAGGGTAGCGCATCAATGAGCAGTCCAATGTGCTTGGTGTATGATCTTGTACATATGTTCATATTGTATATACTGAATTGATATCATTTATCATCTAGCTGTTGGTAATTCTGTTTGTGTCCGGACGACTTCCACTTGGATCATCAACCTGAGAAGGAATGTAGGCGTACTGCTGTAAGTCCTACAGTTCTTCAAGGGTAGTTTGTCATGGCAGAATCCACAACATTTGATGTGTTGATTGTACATATGTTTGTGTTAAATAGTTGTGTGAGTTCCAATTGATGTAATTGTTGGTTAATCTTGTTTGTGTCTGGACATTCCACAACTTACAATCGTCAACCTGTGAAGGGTTGCAGGCGTACTGGTGTAAGTCCTGCAATTCTTCAAAATAATTCCACCAAGACATGATCGGCGAGGTTATTTGTACTGTTTGTGTATACGTGTGGTGTGTCTTCGCAATTTGTGATTTTGGATCAGTTGTGTTTACTCGTTGTTTTCGTGTCTTGTTTTTATTGCATAATTTTGTTAAAATTTTCGTCGTGATTACTTCTGAAGTTGTTTCTTGTCTTCTACATCCGTGAATGAATTGATTGATGTTAAGGACAGCAGATGGGTCGTATACGCCGGGGAGGCTAGGCTATTGCTGAGAATGAAATGCACACGGAGATAATTGTTAGCTGCGGTCCGACACGCCGGGGAGAAAGAGTGTAAACGACTGAGGCTCGCATGCGTCACCGCTACTAGAACTGAGGCAGAATGAGTGACAAGCGATTTCAGTGATAATTGATAGTGAATAGAAAGGAGGATGCTTGAAGAGTATCATGAGGTGCTGCCATGGTCACGTTGCATTCTGCAAGAGTCATTCTAGTAAGTGGCGATTGTGTTGCAAGATGTCAAGAGGAGGTCTCTGTCTGGAGGCGCAGGTCGTCAGCGATGTGTGAGATTGTGCTGTGGGTATGCTTGTGGTGTGTTGGCTTTTCTGTTTGTTTTCCATTTCAGCTCTGTCCGTGTGACCCAGGTTCTCGCAATGGCATCCAAGTCGACGTGCATTGATCGTGAAGGAAAAAAGGGTTGGATCCCTATTTTGCCGAGGAGTGTCAATGGAGTTGAAGATTGAACGATCAATTCTTGGTTGTTTGCTCAAAATCAACTTCCCCGATTTTCGCGGAGGCATCAATACGACAGTCATCGTCTCATCGGTCGCTGTTCAGAAAGAAGAGTGAAACATCGTCAGAAACCTTAGTTCGCTTATTCCTTTATATGTTGTTGTAACAATAAACAAATCTCACGCGGCAGATCGGTGTTTTGGTTTTTGCGTCCGTTATAACTAAGCGTTTCCGAAATCTTCGAAGAACAGCGTGGGCCCGAGCGTAGCGAGAGCTGGGCATTAACGGTTTATGAGACGTGATTGACAATTTGAAATAGGTCACTGCTTTCATTTGTCTTGTTTTCACAGTCTAAACTGCCAGTGGAACGCAGAAGGACTTCGGCACCAGAAACGGAAAGCGAAGCTAACCTTCATCGCTCCGGAATCACCCTGGACATTTTACCCGCTCATAATCAGGGGCAAATTCGTGTTTTACAACGCCAGTGTTAGGTCACTTCTTTTACATGTGTTAGAAACTTGGCGCATCACGAAAGGCATTTCTTTGTGGCAGACGGCTTCTCTCCATGTTGAAGTTCAAATGATCAGAAAGAACCAGCACTGTGAAACTCTTGGAATGCACCAATCAAGAACCTGCTGATCAAAAACATACCTGAGAGATTGGTGATGGATGGATTGTCACCAGATTAGGTGGGCCAGGCTAAATGGTTAGCAGTTAGTGTGACTAGGACTCAAGGCTAGCAGAACTGGTAACCACACGACTATCTCGGGGATTATTTTCACTTGAAGCCAACTGGAAGCGGTTTGGAATGTACACAAGCATCTCGTATAATTGGCTTCCCAGATATGAACATTGCAGTGCATAGTGTTAGGGATAACATTAACATGGATTAAGGGCAGGTTGGTGGGGCAAATATTACTTCCCTGGCTCGCTCTGATCAACTAGTCTTTCAACGTAACCCTTTATTACATGTTTGTCGTCAGCATCCTTATATTTGGTCCAGAGGTCTGCATCCGTCAGAAACGTTTTCATTAAACCCATTAGTCTCTTAAGAGCAACTTCCCTATTACAAACCAACCATCTATATTTAAATCTCCATGGTAGGTCAACGCTGAAACGCCCATTTTCGTATTTCCAAGACTCCTCAACTATTTTAATTGCCTTTAAGTCTTCTGCAGAACAACCCTTCTCTGGGACACTACAGTCACAAAACTCCTTGTCATACATATTGCTATTCATAGTCTCCAGTTTGTCCCCATTGTTTGCAACCAGTGATGATATGTGGACCATGGTTATAGGTCCTCTCGCTGTCCATCGTCGCAAACAGATCATCTCTACCTCCGTATCTCTCTTCTAATACCTTGTAAGCTTCTGGTACACTGCATCCAATCAGTATTCTCACTCTACCATCTTGCAGTGTTGGAAACGGTATGTCACGCAGGTATGGCTTACCGACAACTGTTTCACAACTAGGTACTATAGCTTTGCCAAGTTTCATACTGAAATTAGTGAGGCAGTACCTACTTCAACGGTTTCTCCAGTAGTCAAGGAATATAATTGAAATGACATTCGTTCACATACTAACGTTTTCGAAGAATTGAAAGTGTTTAGGACCGGGGATTGCTTTGGGCCCTTGATACCAGAGCAGCTGGCCAGCTTATCATCTATTTATTTTATTTATTATTATTTATTTCTGGAGCAGAAAGCATCCATTTTTACAGGCATGAACATATGTACACTTATTAAAACTTATAGAACATATAATATGATTTGTTAATTTAGAAATAAGTTGAATACTGGTAAATGTTAGAGAAACATTTGAAATGAAGTGTACAAGTAAGGAAGTAGATACAGCGTCAAATCTAAACTGTGATTGAAAAAATTACATGTCACTTTCACGCGGGAATTATAAATGACTGCGTTAGTTGAAGAAGGTAAGTAGCATTTCTGTACAGGTGCTGACGTGATACATAAGAGATGCAGAATAAACAATAATTATCTGTAATTATCTGTCAACGTAACAGCTGAGCCATTATCTAGCAACGCATATGTGTCGACACATGACTTTGGTCCTCTTACTCTTACTAGCACGACATCTAAATAGACCATCTGAAAGCCGTGTGGTTGAAAACTGCTATTACAACAAATATAACTCCTGATTCTTCAATAACGCCAACAGCAGATGTAATCCCGATGAACTACTGCCACCATTCTCAGCTGTCTCACAGTTAAGTCTTGTGTGCCCGTCCTTTAGGCAGCAGGAGCATAACGTTTCATTTTCAAAATTTGGAGGAAACTAGCACACTCACTAAGTATGTGTTCGCCATCACAGATAACATACTTTACTGAACGTCCAATGCTTTGAGAACCTCTCGACACAAATGACTTTGTCCTAGTAGCTGACCTCTCACTTCCACAAGCCGGATGCAATATACTGGCGAATACTCATAGTCTGATTAACATTATCTGTCACCAATCCCAGTATATCGTCGAACACTTCCTCTAAACCTTCGTCCTCTATACGGGAGCTTATCTTCATCCACTTCCTTTGCAGTCGAGTAAGTAAGCGTCTAGCTATTACCTCCAGGACAGAACTCGAGTTCAGATCGCTCATGCTATTCATCGAAATCAGCGTATTCTCGTAAGTCATCAGATTATCCAAAAACTTAGTGAGTGCCTTGGAGTCATCTCGTAATTGACTACCATTACCCTCAACAGCCTCGAATACGTTCCTTACAATCACCGAATCTTTGACGCAGTATACTCATAGCCTCAGTATATCCTTCGTTAGGGGGCATTAACTTACGGCACAGTATAGCTCTTGCAGCAACACCAGTGCGGTACCTCAACAAATACATTAACTTCATTTCGTCATTTAAAATAAAACCACTCAACATGATCGTAAACTCTTTGATAAACTGTGGGTAGTCGGCTGGGTTTCCATCAAAGTATCGAGGTTCAAACTTCGGGAGCCCTAAAGCCCTACTGTCCCTAAACGGCGAGGCGTGAACATCAGACTCATTAAACATTATCAGCAGGTATGTACCAAACACAGTCACTACTCTTTTCAATATGTTCTACCACCTGATTTATCATTTCTTTCAGTTTAGGGCTTAAACCAAGACAAGGAATAAAACTTGAGTCTGTGACTGATATTAGTAGCTTTATGTAGGCAGACGAAATTACTTTTAATTATCACAAATCTTTTCAACCTTAATTTCCTTACTAAGGTTCCTATACCCCCTACTACTTCTAACTGGATTGTTCGGTATCATTCTAATGCTGGAGTCATTTGAACATACTTAGCTGATCACTGGAGAAAAACAGCTTCTCATTCGTTAAAAACATGTGATAAACTGGCAGTCTTACCTGTTTCAGGTGCGCCATATAAAATTACACCCTTTGGGGGTATAATGCCCATTTCTTCATAAAGTTCTGGATGCGTTAAAGGTAGTTCAACCGACTCTTTTATTTCTTGAATTTGTACATCAAGCCCACCAATATCCGCATAAGTTTCTTGTGGTGCTTTTTCTAGCTTTATGACTGTCACCATAGGGTCAGTTTCATCTGTCAGAACACCGACAACAGCATGAACCTAAGTAACAAGAATGACGGATGAGACTAAAACATACCTTGTGATTTAATAATACAGAACATCCAGGCTCCAACATACCCTTATCGACGAAAGAAAATATGCTAACATAGTGTTCACTACCAACAGATGTTGATACAACAACATGATTGTCATCAATTATCTCTTCCAAAGTTCCCACTGACATAGGTGTGCCACGTAAATCATCTACTTTTGACCTTTCTTCCTAAAGAATGATTCGAAATGTGATGCAAAGTACCTCATGACGTTCTTCGTCTGTTTTTAACCTTTCTTGGTTCTTAATAAATTCTTCTTCCATGAGTAGAAAGTCTTTTATTCGTTCCATTTTTCAACAGTCGAAGTTTACATCGCATATGCGGGGTAACCTGAGGCAACTTGTTGGCACTATCAGGGCCCTTGGACCGCTTGTGTTTACCCATTCTGGTGGGCACTGGGGGATCGAATTCTCTTCGTTTGGTCTGGTACTATGAAGCATTTCAAATTACCACTTACCTTGTCATTTTTCTTATTTCCTTCTTGACTTGATTGTTTTTGCCCCTGTAAGGCACGAAATGGGAATGAAAATTACAAACCATTAATCACAGTAAAATGGGGACCAGCGAAAGGGAGTATCTAAGAAGATAGAGAGATTTAACACAAAGAAGTCTAGAGCAATCGATATGACCAAGCACACGGGTGAGGATATACGTTATAACGTGTTATATTTTCCGCGACTCAGGTTTTTTCGTCTTTCATTGGCTAGAACAATGGCGGTCAATTGCAGTTTGAATTGTCCTTGGGTGCGTGCTGTCGGGTGCTGTCTTGGCGTGGTTGTGTTTGCTTCGTTTGCCAATATATGCCATGACTATAGACGTGAATTAGACTATTGTAACGCTTTGTTTTTCTTTGTTTGTGCATGTACTAGGCTTTACTTGTCGTACAATTCGTTGTTTGGTCTATCGGTTGCTTGCGATGTCAACGAACCGGTGGGTTCTTGTGTTTTTCTGTAATTTAGGTTATACGTGCGGTATTTTCTTGATGGTTATCGATCATCCCTGTATTTCAATGTTGTTTTTTTACGATTTATCTTGGAATAGTTGTGACATAGATGGATACTAATTGATAATTTTATTTTAGTCCGTTGCAGGTAGTAAATTCGAGTGAAAGGCGCACAGACTTAAGTGGAATATTTGGTGAATTAATACTTGGAAGGCGTTTCTTGAGCTGGGATGAATTTGAGAAGTCATTAGCGGAATTCCAAAAAGTGAGGAAGTCATTTAATGTAAACAATATAGTTGTCCTGCACTCACTATGTTCATGATTATAGCAAAACGATACCGGGTGACAGATTTAAGTATGCTTTTGTTGGTTTTAAATGCACTTTTGGAGTGAATCGTACAAGACCTGGATTGAAATTGAAAAATAAGTCGTAAGAAGAAGTGTAGTATTATTTCATGAATATTTCAGGTCTAAATGTTGCAATTGCTCGTTTTCATTTCGCGTGGTTTTGCGTTGTAGTGAATTCATAATTGCTTCCCACAATATGGTACATAACCATCCATGCAGCAGGGTGTACATGCAGAATGACCCATGGTTTAGACGACTAACAGTTGAAGAGAAAGAAAATATTGAACCACTTCTTCAGCAATCCCACTCATCCGATGAAATAATCATGCATTTTAAGGAGAAGTATCACGAGGATATAACTCGCATTGACGTTAAAAATATGAAAGCCGCGGTTAGTAAAGGTAACGTTGACGTACTTGTTACATACTTAAGGTATTTCGAGTCGTCGTGACATTTTTGAATTCCTAAAATCCCGTGGGAAGTTAATGGAGTATTATTCCGATGAACCGATCAGGAATTCACTAACAAGAATTTGTTTTGCAACTTATGAGCAAATGGAATTGTATAAACAGTTCCCTGAAGTTGTTGGTATCGATTCAACGTATAATACAAATAAGGGGAAGTAAGTTTACCAATTCATTAATCAACGTGCAGGTATCCTTTGTTCCAGTTACTTGTATGGACATTAGAGAGAAGAGAACACGAAGTTCAGCAAAGATATCTTTTCGGCGATTTCATTCTCAAAAGCTGTACAATCGCATTTATATAGATTATTTCAACATGGATAGAATTATTATTTGTTTAATTTCACATAGTAACGAAGGTGATAATAATTTTCAACTTGATATGATAGTTTGAAGGTACGAATATAGATTACAAGAGGCTTAGAGACAAGATTTCATAGGATTAGAAAATAGTTACAACGTATACAAAAAATTAATATTTGATAACTGGAGAAATAATTTTAAAGGCGAATCGAAGGTGATAATTATTTTCGGCTTGATATGAATTACAAGAGGTTTAGAAACGCAGGTGTGAACAAAATGAGCATGGAAACAAATTGAAATCAAAATTTTCAACTTGACATGTTAGTTAGGAGGTATGAATATAGATTACAAGAGGCATAGAAACAAAAAATTACACAGGATTAGAATATAATTGTAGAATGGTTATTTTAAGCGGATTACAAGTTTGATCAGGAGGAGTATGGAAACAAAATTAAAATAACTAGTTTTTTTAACTGAAAAAATAATTTGAGCCTGGAATGAAAGTTAGGACGTGTGAATATAGATTACAAAAGCCTTAGAAACACAAAAATTGCACAATATTAAGATATAATTGTAAAATAGTTATTTCAAACGAATTATAAATGTGAACAGGGAAAGCATGGAAACAAACTTAAAATAACTGTTTTTATAGCTGAAAAAAAATTAGGTGGATTAAACGAAGATTGAGGGACTAAGAATCAGACACACAGCGAACGAAAAATGCTCTAAAGGAAAAAACAAGAACGAAAACAGACGAGGAAGAGAAAAAAAAGACGGAAACAAAGGAAACATACCAAGCTAGGTACATGGTAGTTGTAGAGGTTGGACTAACTTCTTTTGAACACACAGCTCCGGCTTCTCGATGCATATTGCGAGGGCTTCTGCAGTACAAAGAAGTCGGAAACATATTGCTTTTGGTAGGTTTCTGTTGACTTTGTAAATCACTTTGAAAGAATCGGTTGAGATTTTGTGGGAGGTGTTGACCAGATGTTCAATAATTGCACTTCTGATTGAACCGGTGCCTCCTCTTTGCAGCCACGCTGGGTAGTGTTCTCTAACACGTTTTGAGAGGACGCGCATACAACGACCTATGTACCTAGCTCCGCACGAGCAAGTGAACTGGTATATGCACATTGAATTGGTCATATGCGAAAGTTTGTCCTTCGTGTTGTTTCGAAGTATTGGGCGGCTAGAGAATGTCACTCTTAGTGTTGCTGCAGGGAAGGTCTTCTTTAGAGAGCTGGATATTCTCCTCTTCAGGATATCAGCTGCCAAATCTCCCTTGAAATTCAGATTTAGATACAGCGTTTTCTTTGGCGCTGAATCGCATTCTTCTCTTTTAGGTTTAGGTTTCATGTTCTTTTCGACAAAACGTGTTGGGTAGCCATTTTGAGCCAGGATATTTTTGAGGAATAGGAGCTCCTCTTCCATGCAATCGTTGCTGCAGATTTTTCTAACGCGATGGGTTAGTGCGCTGATGAGGGCTCGTTTTCGGCTCAGAGGTATCCAACTATAGAAATGCGATAGTTGGCCATTCCATGTCGGTTTTCTGTGGATGGACCTGTTCAGGGTTCCATCATCTCTACTTGTCAATTCCACGTCCAGAAATGGAATCTGTGAATCGCTTTCTAACTCCATTGTCAATGGAGTTGAAGATTGAACGATCAATTCTTGGTTGTTTGCTTAAAATCAACTTCCCCAATTTTCGCGGAAGCATCAATAAGACAGTCATTGTCTCATCGGTCGCTGTTCAGAAAGAAGATCGAAACATCATCAGAAGTAATACAGAGATTTATTATTGTAATATTTGTTTCCAGACCTTAGTTGCTTAGTTCGTTTATTCCTTTTATATGTTGGTGTAACAATACAGAAATATCAAACGGCAGATCGGTGTTTTGGTTTTTGCGTCCGTTATAACTAAGCGTTTCTGAGAAATCTTCTAAGAACAGCGTGGGCCCGAGCGTAGCGAGAGCTGGGCATTAACGGTTTATGAGACGAGACTGACAGTTTCTGATGATGGAAACAGATCTGGCGGATTGAAACAGTTGGTGAAAGTTTGGATAGTCGCCGTTCATTTTTCCTGGTGCCGGTCAAGTCCTCTTTGAACAAGCAATATCTGGAACAGTTTTGGAATTGGGTCAAGTTCAACAATGCCTGGGTCAAAGAAGGGACAGAGTGTCTTGGATGCAAACAGGAAAGTAAGTCATGGTGACTTGTCTGTTAATTGTAACGATGTGTCTGATGTTAAGCATGACATGGTTGATGTTACTGTTTCGCCGTTCAGGGATAATAGGAACATCAAACTCCCTAAATTAGAACCACGATGTTTTGATGGAAACCCGGCTGATTATTTACAATTTGTAAAGGAGTTTGAGATCATGTTGAGTGGTTTTCTATTAAATGATGAATTGAAGTTAATGTATTTGATGAGATATTGCACTGGAGATGCTGCAAGAGCTATACAGTGCTGTAAGTTTATGAAGCCAAAGGAGGGCTACGATGAGGCTATGAGCATATTACGCCAAAGGTTTGGAAGACCCTCGATGATTGCAGGGAAATTATTCGAGGCTGTTAAGGGTAATGGTGGTCAATTACAGGATGACTCCCAGGCACTCACTGAGTTTTTAGATAATTTGCTAATTTACAAGAATGGAATGATTTCGATGAATCGAATGAGTGACCTCAACTCGAGTTTTATACTAGAAGTAATAGCAAGACGTCTACCTACTCGACTGCAAAGGAAGTGGGTGAAGATGAGCTCCCGTATGGAGGATGAGGGTATCGAGCCAAAGTTTGATGATATCCTGAAACTGGTAAATACTAGTGTCAATCAATCTATGAGCAAGTTTTCCAGTTTGTTAGATCTCACCCCTAGAATAGAGCAGTCTGAGGGTAAAACGCACTCATTGATGACGAATAAGCCTCAGAGAGGTGGATATCGAGAAGACTCCATGATGTCTAGTAATGCATATAGACCTAGTGAGTGTAACAGGTTTCGTAGTACATCCTCAACAGATAAGTTACAAGATGCAAGACAAACACGGCTTTGTTTTACACGTGTGCAAGAGGTGCATACAGAAGTGAACTGTGAACCAGTGAGCAAGTTCAGTGATAAGCTAAATGTAAACTCCAGGCCTGACTCCGAATTGTGTGACGATAACGTTGTTGTGAAGAAGTCTGTAGTTGCAACTGGTAAGCCGTTGCTGAATAGAGTGTCACAGAATAGAGTTAC